TGATCATATATTTAAATATACATATATATTCTGTGTGTGACTGCTTGTCTGTGTTTTTCTAAATACAGGATCAACAAAATCCCCTCTGAGAGACTCTTCAGATTTACTTTAAGTCAGATGTTTGATATCTAAATTTTAGGCCCAGCTTTGAGACAATATTTATTTTACAATTAATTCTTCAAAGTATTAATATTTCCTACAAGTCTGATAAATACAGCCCCTGGTCTTTGATTTAAATTTTGACATGAACATTCAAAAACTTTAAAATGTTTGGATAATCCCTTGATTAAATAGAGTCCATAGAGTTGATCAGTTTCATCTAATGCTTCGTGCCGCCCTTCCTCCTGAGGACAGGACATCGTCACCATCCGGTTGTGTTTTTTTTATGAAAATCATCACCTGTGCAACAAGTGAAACTCTGCTCTGGGATGTGTCTCACGCTACTATTGCTTTCTTTTTAATGATGAACCAAGCTGCACGCAGTTCTGTGTAGGTCCGTGTGTGCGTGCGTGCGTGCGCGCACACGTGCGCTCGCAGCAAAGGTTCTTTCTGGGTTTGTGACTCTCACTGTCTCGCCCAGGGTTATAAATTGCACGACAAACTAAACACATACATTTGTTTGCCTCTGTGTCTTCATAAGTCCTTCACTGGTTTGTTATATTTTGCGCATTTGCCAAAACACACCACAAATCCAACCATTTCATTTCCTCATGAACCTTTGAATCAGGTACCAAAGCAGTGATGTAAGTTCACCACTTTCGAAGCTTCGGACGTCACTGATCACATGACTTTTACCAAACGAATCAAGCTCCGACTCAGTGCTTCTGAAACAGTGTGTTGTTTTTTTCAATACATGCGCCGAAGCTTCAGCTTCAAACTGCCCATCTCTAGTGCAATATCACAAAGCAAATGAGTGAAATGTAAGCTTGGTTTGTTATCAGTTTTTCAGCTTACGACTGTTTTTCTGCTCAATACGAAATGATGACACAAATTGGTGTATTTGTATATGAGGGTAAACCCCTGCAGTGAAATGGTACAACAGGGCCCTACTGTGTTTTTAGAAAATTCCTTTTAAGCTGAACAATCGGCACCATCTGGATGTGGCATCCTTCTTAAATTTAGTTAAAAAATCTTTTAGAAAACAAAATAAAATCATCTGAAGCTAACTTGAGGTTATATATGTTCTACTGTCATGAATAAATTTTAAAATTGACACATTTAGTATTCTCATGCTTTGCTAAACACTGTTTTGGGGCATCTGTAGAATTTAAAGGAATCCCCAATTAGTTATAACATTAGACTTTATTTGATAAACATATACTTTAACCGTAAAATAAAAAAAATAAAAAATACTGTAGGCTGTTTAGTTTTGTAAATTTTTTAAAATATATTTAACACGGACGGAGCCATTTTATTTACACGCTAAGCATTCTGGGTAAATGATGAC